CTCTCTCCTTAGCCCTCACTCTCCAATACCCGTGTTTTCTTCCCTACTTCATCCTACTGATACTACAAAAAAAAGAAAAAAAAGAAAAGAAAAAAGAAAGGAAAAAAAAGAAAAAAAAGGTTAGGAAAGAAAAAAAAAAAAAATTAAAATTCTCTCTTTATCTATTTATTTTGAGGTGCTGGAAAGTAGTGTACTTCTCGTCTTCTTCTTTTTCACATTCTCGAATTCTACTTTTCACTCTCATCCCTCTCCCTTCTTCTTTTGTTTACACCCTTATTTCTTCACCTGATTCTTTACCTTATTCCTCTATACAATCACCTCACTCTCCTTGCCACTTTTCGTCAGCATCTCAATCACTAGTCTGTCACCTCTGTTTATCAGCATCTCAATCACTAGTCTGTCACCTCTGTTTATCAGCATCTCAATCACTAGTCTGTCACCTCTGTTTACCTTAAGTTAATTCTTGTTGGAGGAAATTTAGTTTCTGCATTCTTTCTTCTGTTTTTGTCTTCTTCCCCTTTGGTCACCCCTGTCTCTCTCTTCTCAGACTTCTAGCATTATCTATTCCGTTTTCTGCTTTCTTTCTATCTCTCTCTTCGACCTCTCCCCTTTCCCTACCCCTTCTTTCTCCTCCTCCAACCCCTGATCAGGAGAATTTCATGGGGAGAACTCAGCTCCCTACCTCCATCCCTTTAGTTCATCTCTTCATTCACGTCGGCCCATAGCCTTGGGTTTTCACAACTGCATTTGCTTACAGTGCATCGGTCCTTAGCATTACCAGAAAGACTTTAGCTGGAGATGTGCAACGGCCCTTACCTGAAGCAGAAAGCCATTAGCAGGTGTAGGGCTAACTTTCATTTTCCCAACTTCCCTCGCTATATCATCTCTATGGTGGTGCGCCTCATCATTGGGAAGGTCGGTGGGGAAACCTGTAGACTGATAAGAAGTTATAGCGCTGCGCTTCAGTTTTAATGTCGAAGACACTGCCAACTTTTCCTGGGCCACTGCTAACTTCACCGACCAACTGTATCCTGAAGATTCACCCTCTCACCCCCTGGCTGCTCCCTATTTGCTCGTAGGCATCAATAGTTTCTATTTGTCCTTTATGGTTTTTATTTTTCTTCTTGTATTTTCCTTTTCTCTTCTTTTGTTTGGTTGTAAGAGCACTTGACTTGTGGGTTGCCTTTTGGATAGATTTAGCTTCTGTAATTCATTAGCCTATATATGTTACAAGTCAACATATTCCTCAAAAACAAAATCTAGCAATGATTGTAATCCAACATGTTGATATCACTTCTAGGGTTTCTTCATGTTGTTATCAAAGTGGAGCTAGCTTTACCCGTTTTAATTATCAATTGGTCACTGGTTTATTTTATTTTTTTAATTCTTCAATTTCCACTAGTTTGTTTGTGCCTTTCTGTTTCTCCTTTTCGAGACATTTTCATAAAAAGGAATGATTTCAAAAAATTAGTTAACAGCAAATTTGAGTCTGTTGTTTTTTCCTTGCTAATATTTGTGTTCTTTATATGCTGATCTTGTAGAAAATCTGTGAAATAAATTTCTTACTTAGGATTTTGTTCCATAATGTTAATATTTTGGGTTTTGTGAAATTTTAAAAAAGTGGAATTAGTTTACTCTTGATTTACACTTTTTTTATAACTGATTGGTCTGTAGATTTTATTAGTATTAATGTTCATTCACATTCTCCCCTTGTTTTATTAGATTAAGAGTCCAAATTGCTGGAGAAAGTTCAGTGTTCTCCTGCTTATAAAGATTCCAATTTTCAATTTTCTGCAGCTCTTTTCTGTTTTGATTAATTCTTTCTCCCTGTTATTTCATAGAGTTACAAGATTTAGAGCAGAGAGGGTGTAGACCAAAATGTTGGAGCAACTGCTGATATTTACCAGGGGAGGGTTGATTCTCTGGACTTGCAAAGAGCTTGGCAATGCTCTTAAAGGATCACCCATCGATGCTCTCATCCGGTCTTGCCTCTTGGAGGAGCGGTCTGGTGATTCTGCCTTCAATTACGATGCGGCAGGGGCCTCCTACACCCTCAAGTGGACCTTCCACAATGAGCTTGGCCTCATATTTGTTGCAATTTACCAAAGAATTCTCCATCTCTTGTATGTGGATGACCTTTTATCCATGGTGAAGCGTGAGTTCTCAGAATTGTATCATCCGAAGAGGACATACTATGAAGATTTTGATGATATATTTCGACAGCTTCAAAAGGAGGCAGAAGCAAGGGCGGAGGAAATGAAGAAATCAAAACCACAGGCAAAACCAGTTGAGTCATTAACCAAAAAAGAGGGACAAATTGCTAATAAGAAAAAGGGGGTTTTGCTGGCTGGGAAAGAGAAAGTTTCAAGCAAGGATGATGCATCAGAGGGGAATCATACTAATGGTCATAAATTAGAGAATGGGAACTCTAATGGGCGTGAGTTGGGAACTAAGACAACTCATGCTGATGTAAAGAAGAGTGTTCCTGAATCTGGGGCCTTTGATGTGAGTAAGCTCCGGAAACTGAGGTCTAAAGCAAGTAAGAAAATGGATACATTTAGTAAAGCTCCCAAAGTGGAGCAAAATAAAAAAACAACAAAGAAAAACAGAGTTTGGGACGATTCACCTTCTGAGTCAAAGTTGGATTTTACGGATCCTATGGCTGAGAAAGGGACTGAGGCTGTTGTAGTGGTCGATCAAGGTGAAAGCATGATGGATAGGGAAGAAATTGTGAGCAGTGATAGTGAGATTGACGAGGATGAGGAAGAGAGTGGTAAGCCTGACAACAAGAAGAGAGGATGGTTTTCATCTATGTTTCAAAGGTATGCTTCTTTATTTTGATTCTCTGAAGGTGTTTGCTTTTTGTTGTTATTTTAAGAAACTCAACAATGACCCTTTTTGTTGATATTTTCCAATTAATCCCTGTCTATTGGAAAGGTGTTAAACTCTATATTATTGCGTCTTCCTTGTATGGGATTTAAATTCTAAGAACTCAACAATGGCCCTTTTTCTGTTGACATTTTCCAACAAACCCATTTCATTAGACGAATTTCCGCGTTTTATTTCGTTGCAACTCTTCTGTTTTATAATTCTTAGAATTTGGGTTTAGTGAAAAGGTGTTGAGCTTTAGGTATTTCGAAATTGTTACTGCATGTGTGGTTATTAGTTTTGCTCATGTTTGTTGGGCTCAACTTTTTCCATTAGTTATTGCGATATAACCTGGAAGAGGTGAGTTAGTTTGAATCATTACCCTATTTTTTCTGGGACTCTCATCACTCCCATACTTCCATTAATTATTTCCTCTGGTAAAGTCAGTTTAGTTTGGTTTCATTGCTACTATCTCTTATCTTTTTATATTACCTACTAATGGATTATTTTCTTTGTACCTTGTTGAGCTTATTCTGGTTTTGTCACTGTTTCTTTTCTTTCTCTCTCTTTCTTGTTTTTTTTTTTTTTTTTTTCAATTTGTAGTAAGTGAACGTTCTCTTATGACCGTCGTTGGATCATTTCACAGATCAAAAACTTGCCTTATCCGAATTAGGACTGGGGTCAGGACCTTAGCAAGTCTTATAAAAATTATGTAAAATGGCAAGTGAGTAGTGACCAAACCAAAAGCTGTTATATTGGAATGACCCACTCAGTCGGTTTTGAACTCTCCTGAGTCCTACTTATTTGATTCAATCTGGGTGTATGTGGAGTTTCAAACCGAGTTTATGGTTTTGAACTTTGGATCATTTAAACAAAGTTACAAAACAACAAGGGCATGCCTGTATATAAGGAGAGAGAAGGGAAAGCCTCGTCATTAGGATTCAGATGCACCACCAAACTCGCATGAATCTACTTTAGCATTTATTGAGAAAACTCGCATAAAGGGACCAAATCTGGCTTTGGTGATGCATCATCATCAGAGCCTTTTCCCAATCAGGTTCTTTTCCCAAGTAGTTGAGAAAAGGCTTTGATGATGATGCATCACCAAAG